TTTGACTGGGACACTGACTTCAAATTCTTCAAATTCTTGTCTCTGTGTCCCACCCTACCCATCACGGGCGGGCGGGCTCGGGTGCATTGCTGGCGGTGGTGGCAGCCACAGGACCACAGACATGCAAAAGACGCAAAAACAAGTCTCCCAAAACCTTGACGCGATTTCGTGTTTTTACAGGAAAACGAATCCAGATCTCAGCAGCACCTAATTCCTGTACATAAGTCTCGAGCATACGAAAGGATTTCCAGCGACCTCGCCACTGAACACGAATCAGGTCTTCTGACCACAGACGAAACAGGTAGGTGGCGCCACCGGGCCTCAGTGAGCTTGGCAAAAACGCGACCGTAGTCAGCACTTCACGCTGCACCAAGTCCAGCCTGGTTTTGAAAGAAGCCAAAGAGCCGCACCAAAGCTTCCGCCACATCGGCATCGAGCCGAAAATCGTCTGCACCCAGCCGGCGATGCCGGCCTCGTCGAGGCGCACATGTTGCGCCGCAGCTGCCCGAAAACGAGTTTTCGGCTGGGAAACTCGAATGTAGATCACATTGTCGCCCCAATGGTCTTGCGGGAGAGACAGATCTTGTCGTCGCAAACCTAAGCTCTGAGGGTCTCAATAATCCAAAAAAGCCCAGTACCAGCAACGCCGCAAAGTGCGGCCACTGCCATGCCATGGCAGTACCCGCAAGAGCATAGAGCACTTGCACCGGCATAGGCGGGTGATGAGTGACTGGCTCCAACATGTCCCATGTCTTGAGTACACTCCAAGGCGCGGCAAGAGAGGATCTGAGCCAACCAAACTTTTGGACCACCACATTCAGAGTCTCGGCTGCTGACCTGCGGCTCTGACCATCCAGATATAAGGTGACCATATATTCTTCGAGCCACTCGGACAAAACATCGATGTGATGCCGAGCCAAATCCTCCAAAGTAACCTCGGGCAGTTGAGTTGCCAACCAAACCTCCAGTTTGGTAAGCAGGTCCTGTCGGATGCTCTGAGTACGGGCCGTCACACGACCTCGCTCGATCAAAGCACGGTCTCGCACCTGCATCTGAGGAGGTCTGGGAGCTCCGCTCACCATTCCGCAACAACAAAGAACCAGCCAGAAGAAACCAGCGGTTGTAGGCCCGTGGCAAGCCCTGCAACTCATCTAGCTGAATCAAAGCCTCGCGGGCGCCAGTCCGCAGCTTCCAAAACCAAACTGGTAGGGGGGTGCGTGCGCCTAACACCTGGTGATTTCGGCTTGGGCCATCCGCTCTTAGTGACCAAGTAGGGAAATGAATGCTAGACACATGCAAGTTTTTACCTAAAATGTACGGAGCTTCGGAGCGCATAATTCGATTGAGGGAAGCGGAGGGGCTCCGCCCTTTGCCCAAAGATCCAATGTTCACACGACTGTCCTGAGCAACCACAACCCTTTTGTCACGACCTAACCTTTTAAACAAGGTTCGCCGCGCTTTAGTTTCCTGCAAATTAATGTGTTCCTTTTGGCGAAACTGGTATTTGATCCAAGGTTTCCACGTCAAACCTTCTGACAGCTGCACGGCCCACAAGGCCGAACCTCCTTTCCGCTTCCGCCGTTGGCGCGGGGCCAAAGTTGAGTCAACGCGTTGACAAAAATGAGAAGTGTTCCGATCTCCATCCCCCGCACAAAGCAAACCTTCAGGGGCATCCATCCCAAACGGATTGGGGGGGACACAACCAGAGCCCATTGCACAAACACGTCAGCCACGCGGTCACAAAAGGAGTTCGAGTAGACCCCCCAGTTGGTGGTATTTTCCCCTTTCACCCCTTTCGCAACCAAGTGTCGCTGTTGAACCTGGTGACAACATCGCAAGCCCAGCCGCCGCACAGGCGGAAAGTTAGAAATTAACTTAGTCGTTTTCCTACAGCTCTGGCCAAAGCGGCACCAGTCAAAAAGCAGCTCAAAAACACCTGTCATCGTGGTCAAATGTATCCAAGGAGGGAAGGCTTTCAAACAGCCTCTGGCAGGAGTTTCTCCTGTCATGAAATTTCCGACCGCCATTTGAACACCTGCCAGCAGGATGCACTGGCAAACATGAAGGTTGCCTTCTACCACACGTTCAGTCAACACGTCAAAACCCCATGGGTCATCCAGCGATCTCACTTTAGGGGTCCTAGCCAAAGAAAACGTAGTACGGGGGGGGGCCCACCAAAGAAACTTCACTTTTCTCGCTTTAATAAACGACATCAACCCAACAAACGCTTGAGGATCCATAAAGCTCCAACCCTTTTTCAAATCCAAAGGCGGGAGAACACGCAACCGTTTCCTTATCCAAGATTGAGACATTTGACCACATTCGGCGGAGATTTCCAACAGATCAAAAGGCTCTTCGGACAGAACCAGCGCAGGAGACTCTTTCCTGAGACAGTCAAGAAATCCATGCTCCCAATCGCACGCTTCTCCCCCGCCCCCAATACTCTCATCAGAGCTTGAGTCCCACAGATCTTCCTCATTATGACCGCTACCCTTCAAGGTAGACTGCAACCGTGTCAGCAGAGGCATGCGGTACCCCACCTTGTCTCCTCGACGCCAGACCTCTTCCGACACCATTTCCCCCACCTCCACCCGACAAACACCCGCCCCAGACGGAGACGCATCGACGCAGTAGAGAAAGGGGTCCGGGAGAGCGCGGGCGTCGCAAATACAAAGGGGAGCGCAACAGACCAGAACCAAAAGTTCGTTTCGGGCGCCGGGAGACAATTTAAACAGCTCACCAGGGTCCCCCGGGGAAAGTTGGTGGTAAATTTCGTACATGAAAGAAAACAGGGGTCTGCGGAACTGTAAATTGAAAGCCCACAGCCCTGTGATCGCCTCAATCATTTTTTCATCCACTGGCCCCGCTTCAGTCATCAAGACCGAAAGTTGAGCCAGCTTGAGCAGTTTGTTCCGGGCTGGTCCAATGAGCCCTGCGATGCCTTCCACCTCGGCACCCCATACTCGTGCATGAAAAGCTCGTCGAACTTCCTTGCCTTCATGGGTTCGGAGCTTAACCGAATTATAGGCAGAACCTGCCTGAGCAAAAGCTTCCACGTCTCGACCAGGCTGGGAAAGAGTTTTCTCAACGCTGCCTTTCCAAGGCAACAACTGTACCCCCAGGTGGTCATCAATCATGATGCCCTCATAGAAACCACTTTCGGGTTTTGGGATAGGTTGTCTATAGTTCAGGGTTTCGTCAGGGAGAAGAGCGCCCCTACTGCGTAACAAGTTCACATGACTTTCTTGAGCTATGTCAACCGCAGCATGGTCGCCCATCCCCAGACCCCGAAAACAACACACCAACTTGTCATGTTTCGTGATCCGATTGGCTGCCAGAGCTGCCTTTGCAGCGTTCAAATGAGCCACCTCACCCCACCGCAAAATTGGCCCGACTGGGCTGCTCCGGGCCCTCGCTTCTGTAGCTTCATAGGCGTGGTAGAAGTCACGAATGTCATCAACAGAACAAACACAAACCTTGTCCTTTCCCAGAGGCAACTGAGTCAACAAAACACCATGAGGAAGGTTCCGTGACTCTCCTACCACATGATACTCTCTTTTGTTCCTACGCTTCCTGTGCAAAATTTGACGGTCTTTATCCATATCTTTAGCAACAGCAAAAAGCTCACACCTATCCAAAGAGCAAACTTCATCACTGCGACACACAAACAACCGGTCCAAAACATCCCAACGAGAAAAGACTTTTAACAATTCTGCACGGGTAGCGGTGCCCTTTATGTGCATCGGCGGTGGCATGTCTTCCGGGGCTTTGAGGATCACATCGGGGTTCTCATAAATCTCCCGAAACTTTTCTGACAAATAAGGCCTTGGGTCAAAGTTTGACACCTGAGAAGGGAGACTGAGCCTCTCAGCAACCACTGGAAGTGCCTTGGTGGCAGCAAAAGCTGCGTCTGAACTTTTCTCGCCAAACGATCTCTTTGAACGGGCATACGGCAAAACATCACATGCACTTAATTCAGATCTCAGCTGGTTCAGATGATCTTTCACAGCTGGTAGCCGGAGGCCGCATCCAAGCTCCGGGGAACTCAGGCGAACCATCGAGCGACTCAGCTTCAGGAGGAAATCTGTCATCTCCCTCTGTGCCACATTGAGTGGAACTCCACTCCTCCCTCGTGCCGGGGCAACCTTCACTCCCAGAGCTTGATGGCTAAGAGCGCAGACCATGAGGTTGGTCCACAATTCAGTCGCCCTCCGAGCGCGGAACCTGGCTGCCCTTCTCCGGGATCGTCCTCGAAGCGACATGTTGTCATTTCTCCAAGGGAAAGGAGGCGGGCAAGGAAACAACTCCTTCTTTGAAGTTGGTGGTGGTGGAGCTGCGCTACTGGTAAAAGTGCTAATCACATACCAGGAGAAAGGCAAGGAAGACCGCCGCATAGAATCCAGAAGGTCTTCCAACCAAGACGCAATTTGGTAGTCTTGGCCTTTGGAAAAAGTCGTAGTGCTTTCGTTCTTCAGCTCAAGGTCTTCGTCTTGAACTTTCACTCCCCTTTGTCTTTTTGCCTGTCGTCTTTGTTCTTTTGCTCGCCTTTGCCGCCCCCTTTTCCTCTCTTTTTCAGCAGCCATTCTTCTTCCTTCAGCTCGTTGATGATCGCTCCAATCCATGTCGCGTCCATCAGTCGCGTGTAGATGTACTGCTTTCGGATTGAGGGAAGGTCTTGACTGGCCCAATGGGCCCACGGCGGCTCTTCCACACCTGTCAGGCGGCTTGCCACTCCCCAGCTTTCGTCCAACAAAAACTGTTCCATGGCTGCCATCATGCGTACAGTGTGAAGGCGGGCTTGTCGAGCCTTTCCTTCCAACATCAGCTTGTGAATGGTCGCAAAGCCTGTCAGAGCATACCCGGCAGTTCGAGATCGCCCAACCGGGACTGACTGGATGAACTTTTCGGGGATGGTGGGACCCATCTCCTCTGCTCCTACAGCACGCTGCATTCGCATCTCCATTCTCTCCAAATAGGCTCCAGGGTTTTGCTTCATGGCCGCTCGAAGCTTTTCCACCGCCTCGATGGCTTTGCCTCCTCGGCTGGTGGAGGACCAAGTCTCTCCTCCTTCTTCTTCTGAGGAACTGCCGATGCCCCCTATCAAGCCCGGCAACTTTTTGCTCTTCTTGCTTGTCTTTCCCTGAAGGTCCTTGAGTAGCTTCAACATACTGAGCTTCATCATGTCGTCCACAGAAGGCGTTGAAGACGACGCAGCCATCTCTTCTTCCACCAAGCTGACTAGCTCCTGCGCTGTGGTGCGAGCTGCAGGTTCGTCTAAGACTTTGCTGGGACGAGGCCCAACCTCTTCTTTCAAAGCCTTCAAAATGTCGGCCCAATCTTTTTCTTCTGACTTTTCGACCACCTTCTTCCCAGGCTTGTCCTTTGCAACTGTGCTTTGGTGAAGATTGGAAGGTTTGCTGTCTACTTTTCTCTGCAGCTGGTCCATGCGGCTTTCCAGTTTTGCCAAAGCAGTGAGCACTTGGTCTAAGCCCTGAGGCTCCGGCACTGGAGCTTCTTGGGCGGTTTGCCATCCCGTGTCTCGAAGTGACCCGCTCATTACCCAGCCTTCCACCGCATCGTCGAGCTCCGCAAAGTTGGGGAGGTCCTGGCTGTCCGCAAACCTTTTGTGCTGGCGACGGCTGCGAGGCGCCCTTCTTTCCAGGCTGTGTCTGACATCCAGAGTGAACTCTACCAACTGCACCTCGATGATCTGATCGGAGTTTTCCTGCAGACTGACTGTAACCTGAGCATTTGGGCCCATCAGGTCGTCGGCTGCGGACTGTTGGCCCCTTTCCAGATCCTCCTTTGGAATGGCATCTCCCGGCACAGCCAGGATAATTCCTGTGCTGCTGACTCGACAAGGCAAGCAGATCGCCCACGCATCGCTGTCTGCGGGCCATTTGAGAAGAAGGACATCGACTTCGTCTCCTCGAGGGTTGACACACTTCAGGGTCTTCAAGGCTCTCTCGGCAACCGGCATGTTGCTCCTGCCAAGTATGCTCCACCTGCGGCGAAACTGGCAAAGGCTGTTGACACAGGGCTGTGACGATCAGGCGCTCTAAGTCTCTCCTGGAGCTTGACAGCTCAGAAAACAGCTTGCACGTTCTTGGTGTACCAAGTCCAATCGTGTCGGAAGAGTCCAGGTTGGAAATCAAGAAGGGCTGCTGTCCCGTCTTGTTGCTTTTCAACCTCACAGGCCTGTAGGGTATTTCCCCACGCAAGCCACTTTCCAGCACCGTCAGCCTGTCGCTCCAGAAACAAAAGATCCCCAGTGCGACAAACACTGAGATCCGGATCTGGGTTCTCCGGCTCACCCCCTGAAACTTCGTCCCAAGTATTCTGATCACCAGTTTGAGATGAAGGTGCAAGTTGGTCGTGATGGGAGTATGTGATGTGTCCTGAGGGTCTTGCAGGTGGCTTTCACGTGCCCTCACGCACGGTAGCGCAAGAGGCGGTCTTGCCCCACCAAGCCGCCCTCACGCGGTCTGATCTCTGCCTCTTGCAGCAAAAAGACCAACAAGCGCGTTCCAAACCACTGCAGTCGAGGACTCAGGCAAATTGCCACCACACAGCCACCAAGGCAGCACCCAATGCACAAACAAGTGATAGCCAGAAGTAGGATTTCAGCAAGTCGAAAAGGGTGATCGCACAAACCCAGGACGGGGCTCACTACACTCAAAAAATCTTTGAGCATCCAAACAGAAAGCTACAAACAACACATGTTGACTGCCCTTCCATGAAAACAATGCCGTTCCATGTGGCTATGGCTTGAAAATGGGTGACGGGAAGTGGTCTCGCATCACAGAACTTTGGTATACCCATGCCACCTCTGATCAAATATATACCTGGACACTCCACATCTGGGTGGGCAAACTTAGAACCTGCTCGAAGCTATACAGTGTCTGGCATAAATGCGTGTTTGATCCTACATACAAACATGCACTTTTACCCTTCTGCACTCCATCTGAACACTCCTCTCCCATTCTCCACCCTTGCTTCTCTACCCCTGCCACTCCTCCCTCAAGAAGACAAAAACTAGTCCTCATCTTCACCTCTTCACCTCCCACCTCCAAAATCACCTGAACCCGAGTCACCCCACGCGCATCAAAAACACCTCCCCCCCCCCCCAAAAAAAAAACAACTAAAAACACCAAGATCCACCTGGCCGTTCTAAAACCATCTAAAACCCACGCAGTCCTCATAACACCCTCCCCTCGGCCCACCCTGGTGGGTGGCTCCATCACCCTTCCCCACGGTTCACTCCTTTCGGTCCATGAAGTCTCTCAAGCCCAGCATGGCGTTGTGCGTCCCACTGGCCGCCACGGCGTTGGAGAGCGACACCACGCCGATGCGTCGGCTCTTGGGCTCCGTGGTCGAACTGGGCCGCCGGTCCTGGAGGAATCGCCGGGCAGCATGGAAGCAACCACGCACGAGCACTGCGGTGCGAGGAGGACATTGCGGAGGTGATTGAGGTGATTGAGGTGTTTCTTTTTGTTGATCGTTAAATGTGGGAAGACTGTGTGGAACATCTATGGCTATGGGTTGGTGAAGAAGAGCTGGAATGTTGTTCGGAATGCTATTGTAGAGTGTTCAATGGGTGCTCAATTGTGTAGAGCATTGGCACCTCTTGGCCCTCTGAGATGACCGACCGAGGTTCAAATATCGTTCATCGTTAGTTGTCACACTGCGAGAATCACAGTAAACCCGCACAGCGCTGTTCCCCCCGTCGACGTGCCTCCACCACGTGCAAGGGCTCCTTAGAATTGCCAGCATGCCTAGAACTGGATGCAAGGGGTCCCACACTCACACCACACTGTATATATAGCTCACTATGCTCAGCAAAAGCTGTCACATGTTGTAATTCCAAATGGATCAATGGATCATAGATGCGACACATGTGGGTTTGCATTGGGCTAGAGCCAAGGACAAAGACCGGTGCTTGCCTGCCACATAGAACTTATTATTATGCTGCTGACCTTGTCCTTTTCGTGTTCTCCTTCTCTCTGACGCTATACTCTCCCCGCGTGTGAGTGCGCATATTTGCCACCCGCTTTAGATGGATACTCTTGCAGTCGTCCTCCACCCCAAAGGACGGGGTTAGCAGAACAACCAAATGCAAATGCCTAACAAATATTCCTGTGGCCACTGAGCACCACTGGTGATTTGGACCTCGCAAGCCTATGGATGTTGGCATATGTTGGCCCAAACAGCGAATGACCCCACAGTCAAGCTGCCTCCTGTGACAGCTGTCGTCAACCGGCATCAAACGTCGAGTGCACCATCGACCATCCCATATGAAACAAACACCATGAATGAAGCTATTCCTGGAGCCCTCGCGAGTTCCTGGAGCCCAATCGTGCTTAGAACAATCAGCTTAAACAACACAGTCACAATCACACTGCAAATTGGTTCACCACACCATACTCACCATACCACACCCAAACCCCCTAATGAACACCCTCCACGTTTGATGCCTTCCGCACATCGTGCGTGGTTGACACCCCAGTGGTGTGAACCCACCGCTCCCCAGTGGTGAACCCGCTCCAAGCATCCAGCTCCCCGACACTGGGATAGAAATTCCGCACTTCCTCGTCCACGGCTAACATCCTTAGAAGTTGAAATGACCCCGGCACTTCAAACACGGCACGGTACTTGGTCGTGTACTGCGGCCATTTGTGAAAGCACTGAAGCAACACGCAGTTGCCCCAGGCTTTCAGAAAACGGTATGCAGTGCACAAATGGCATACCTTAAATCCAGCTCCATGGATCTTCTTGAATTGAAAGGAACGTCCTCCCAGAAAACGAACATGAACCCTCTAAGGGGACACCAATGGCCATCTCTTGGCTAGGCTTCAAGGGTCTCAGCCAGCTTTGAACTGGAAATTTTTTAATTTATCTATTTTGTCATTTAACGTTCATGGTTCCCTTTTTTGTCATGTGTATTCCTGAAAGTAATTTTCTTTGCCACTGCCACTTTGTTGTCATTTCTTAAGATGAAAACAAATGATAACATGACAAAACATGACTCTGACAAAACTGAATAACAGAAAATGACAAACACACACTAAACGAATCTAAACGATTAACTTGAGCTCTCTCTCTCTCTGTCGCTGTACACGTCCTTTTGTCTGAGGGCTGCTTGCAAGTCCTTTCTAAGGCTAGGCTTCCAACACCGCAACAGGATTGTCCTGACGTAAACATATACATGAGACAAACACATTAACATATGTAAATCCCGACAGGGATGGTCTAATTTCAATTAATTTCAGCCATCTGAACTCGCCCCAGGACCACCCCTGAAACACCATGAGCAAAGCCCAGGCATCTCAGGATCTCCTTCCTCGACTCCACGGAATCGGAGCTTCGCCCAGCTCAGCTCCTGCAGAGGAAGGTGAGATGTCCCCCTCTCATGGGGTGGAGAAAGCATCCACTGTACCAATGGGCTACGGGAAAAGCAGCACCACATCAAGCGGATATACTGCAACCAAGGCATACCCAGGGGGCCAAGTTGGTATTGCTGCTGGATCTTGAATTGATATTGGTTTATTCTCATTTCTCTATTTTTTTGGACCGTGGGCGGAAAAAGGAGTCCCGCAGTGTGGCTCGGTGGAGTATTTTCAAGTGAACAACCAAGTCCGCTTCAGAAGCTGAATGACCATCGTTTTCTGCTCAGAAAACGGGTGCGATCCTCCGATCCTCTCCGAACCGCTCCGTCCTTGGGTACAGAGGGCAGCGCATAGGTCCGGTGCACCTCCAACTCCGAGCGCCGCGTCCGGTTCCGCGCCTTCCCCGTGGCGTTCCAGTGGCCGTGCGCCTCGGACCGTCGCACCCGGACCGTCGCACGTGCGACGCGACGAGGCGGTGCGAGGGTAGCGGAATCGACGCATGCACCGAGGCCGAGGGGAGCGAGGGTGCGGAGCGAGGAAGGACGGGGAGCGAGGCGACGAAGGAGCGAGGAAGGACTAAGGAGGGTCTGAACACACTGCACGTGCAGTTCACTGTCAGTTCATGCGCACGTCCATCTTCCACCAGCCTCCCCAAGTAATGAACGATCTTGCTCCTGATTCCCCATTGATTCACTTTGAACTGTCTTCCAACCAAATCCTGCTCAAGTCCTGCCCCTCCTCCCTCCACACCTTTCCTCTCGCCGAGCGACGAAGCCCGTCTTTTCGGAGTCGCTGCCAGCGTCCGAGGGGGTCTTCTTCGCATCACGCGCCGACGCTGCGAAAAGCATCGCCATGGCGGCGGTAGGGGGCCAAGCGCGGTGTGGCAGCAGTCGCTGGGCCCGGGGAGCACGAGAATCAGGGGAGGTGCCGCGCCAAGAAGTGGGAAGAACATGTTGAAAAACTTGGAAAGTGGAACATGCAAAGGGACATTTTGTTGGGTTTGATGGGGCTTGATGGGTTGTGGTTGAGGAGGCTATAGGTCCTGTGGCCACCTGATCTCACATATCGTAGCAGTGGGAGCTATAGTCAGAGGTTGTCTCGTGATCAGCACAAAGTTCTGGTGGGGTTGTGGCTACGGTGAGTTCCAGAAGCGGTTTTCCCAAACCACCACCGATTTCTAGTTCCAAACCCCCCAAACCACCGCCACGTGGCCGGTTCCAATCTCTGGGGCAGGGTGACTCCTGCGTTCCATGGTCTTAGCCTGATGAGATGTCCAAGTCTTGTTTTCCCCCAAAAATTGGTTCTTTTCGTGCGGCCTTTTGGGTGATCCACTGCGGAAGCTGGTCACAATAAACCACCACAACACATCTGCTGGAACCGAAGGCATTGCGCGTTGAGCCGTGCTATGCCAACTCTTCGAACATGTTGCATAGGCCATAGGCATCTGAAATGACAAACAAGAAGCGAGCAAATCAGAAATATGTTGATCATTGTGATTGCTAGCGCCCGGTCATATTTTTCAGTAGCCTCTTGCGTCAAAGCACGTGTTGACCAGCTGCCACGGCTGTCACGGCTGTCACGGTGTGGATCGCCT